TATGAGATCCGAGGTCAGTATGCGGTCACGTAATATACCTTCCTTCAACGACAACCCAATTAGCGAGGTCAACTGCTCCTGTATGTATGATTTGATGACTGTGATACAACATGCGAGCACACCCACCCGCGGCTATGTCCGTACAACCCAAATACAACAGGGACAATAAACACCAGACCATCCAGTGAGACCGTCTGGCGATTTTCGCATACCGGACAATCGTACAATCCCGGAAACACCTACGCGGATACCGTATGCCAAGCCGAGCATATGACGGAAATTGGTGCCCGCAACATCCTTGTTCGGTTAAACGCGTGGTCCTTCTGGTAGTTATACCATGTACGGAAACTCTAACCTTGGAGTCCTCGGCTTGTCAAAGCGGCGGACCTGAGGCTTTATAAAGTCTAGCGGAATATGACCAAAATATCTCAATCTGCGTGATGGTGTCTTACGACGAATCAGTGAACGGGCTCGGTGTACAGGAGGTGTGGTCAGATAGATTAGATTGATATGATTGATTATGAGAGTTCACCAACTACTTATGGATTGCCGTACTAGTCTCGATGTAGCTGTTATCATCATTGGTAAATGCTTTATCATCATAATGGGTTAGATCAAATGAATGAAGACCTTTTGACAGGAAGACTAAACGGCCTACCTAGTATGTGAATGCAGGGGTGTAAAGGCATTCCCTGAAACGGAGATTGACGGATTGCAACCTCGTTAGCCCTATGCAAGTAATGCTGGGGAGGGGCGGCTTCGATGCAAAAGATCGTGGCTTGGAATATTCGGCTGTTTAGTGCAACGGTGGAATCGGAATCATCCATCCATTATGATCATCCACCTTGCTGAGCGGCTCATTGTCAGGATAGCGTCGCGCTACCCATTAATGCAACTCAGCTCCACGGTTCTAGCCCGTAATAGCGCTCCAATCCGTCCCAGGCTATCACAATTGATATGCCACTTTTATCCCACCGCTCTCCTGTCCTTTTGTAAAAGGACAATGCAGGTGTTTTAGAGCTTGCAGGGTCCCGGCTGTGGCTTGGACCAACTCGGGTTGAACCTTGAAGACTTCTCTAGCAACGGGACTTTTGACGTCTATCTGAAGACGTTTGATATGATTTGCCACTATTTGACGACAATGGAGGATTCTTCGAGATTGAGAAAAATGGTGCCACTCATAGCGGTCTGGCATCCCTTATAGTAACATCTATAAGTAGGTAAACAATCACGGCATCCCTTTCGGTGCTGTGCCTATCATTATACCGGTGATCCTTGTGCGGACGGCAAAAAAGTTATAATCTGCTGTGTCAGTCATACATACAAAATGGATTCCGCCTATGTGTCTTTGCTTCGTCGCCAGACTCTCCCCTGGACTTGTTCCACTTCACCGAAGTCAGAGAGCGGCTTCCTACCCAAGATGTCAACAAACGGAGAACATCACAAGAATACCATCCTGATAACTGGGTTGAACGGTTACCTAGCAGGTAGGACGGCCGAATTGGTATTACGAGAGGGATACCGAGTTCGTGGCACCGTTCGTAACCGGCAAGCAGGAGAGAAGGTGAAAGCCGCTCTCTTACAACTGGGCTATAGCTCGGATGATATCGACGTGCTCGAGATTCCCGATATATGTCGGCATGGTTCTCTTGACAATGCCGCTGCTGGTATGGAAACCAATATGTCCTAGTAGAGCAGGTGCTAACTGATATATTCCAGGATGTATTGCGGTCTTCCATCTCGCCTCACCAGTTGCAGAGATATGGACACTCCCTCCCTCAGAGGTAGTTCGGATAGCGACGGAGAGTACGGCAAGGGTTTTGAGTGCGGCAGTGCGAACCAGTGACACTATGAAGAGTGTGGTCTTTATGTCGTCGGCTGCAGCTCTATTCGACATGCCGTTAGAGAACCGACATTATACAGAAGAGGATTGGAACACTACGTCTGAGCAGATTGTCAAGCTAGAAGGAGATAAGGCGGGCGGTTTTCATGCATATCTCGCTAGTAAGACTGCTGCAGAGCAGGCGTTCTGGCAGTTTCGGGATAGTCACCGGCCTTCCTTTGGGATGACGGCTCTTCAGCCCACGTGAGTGCTTCGTTACCTCACATCGAGATACCTCGGTCATGCTAACACTCGATAGGTACTTCATTGGACCGCCCCTAATTCCATGGAAAACCACAGCGGACATTCCGTATTCCAATAGCGACTTCTGGACAGTTGTAGCTGGCGAGGAAATACCTGGTCCCAAGATGGTTTACGGCGACACAATCGACATACGCGACGTAGCGCGAATATTGTTGTGGTCGGCATTGCACCCATCACAATCCGATGGCCAACGTTTCGTATGCTCTTCGGCCGTCGGTGGTGGTCAGGCTATCGCAGACATATTGAGCAGACGTATGCCGTCCCTGAGAATACAGCGAGGACAGCCTGGGGAAGGCTACTCGCCCGATTATAAACCTCAAGTTGGTGTTGGTGCATTTGACTGGAGCAAGGCTGTCTTGGCTATGGGAGAGGACTGGATTCCATATGAGGAAAGTGTTGTTGACATGGCACAGTTCTTACAGCGGTACCTCTCATGATACCGAATAGCCATATTGCATGACGGAGGGTGTGCGGGCCTCATCCTCATGTTCTTTCTTTTCTTCCTTTTTCTCATTAGGATACTTGTTCCACTTTGTCGAAGTATGAGGCATGGCGGTCCCTACCAAAAAAAAGTGCGGTGAATTATATAGAAAGCGTTTCAAAAAGCGATCAGGCGCAATAAAATTACTTATTAATTAGTGCGAATAATACGCACGAATGTCCAACCACTTGATTGATCTTACGGAATCCCTAAATCATAATCTGTCGCGGACGTGACTATATAAATATCATGAAATCTGCCGGAAATAACGCTTACCTTTTCCGTTACACAATTGTTATTAATAATTCATAGTAAGTAGGTTTAGAAAACACATGTGATAGAACAGAGCGCGACTTTTGCATGAATTTTCCGTTAAATCATTTGCGCATATCTCTCGGAAAACTGAGGTTGGCCCAGGGTTGCTACCTCAATTCACCTAGTAGCTATAAATTTTTGCCTTAGCTCCATTGAAATCGAAGATCATATATTTCGTGGTATCAGAATATCAAACGTGATCGCAGACTGGATTACAGACTGGATGTGCGATGCAGACTTTTCGGTCCACCATTCCCTCCCACTGCTGAATGTGCGCCATTAACCAAAGCCCTAATCACCCTCTTAAGGGGCCGTAAGCCAGTAATTCGCAGCCAGAACTTCGCCAAGTCCAAGTTTCTTCTCAAAGGCCTCCTCATTCCACCACAACCGAGCTGTCAACTTGACTTCCTCAGCAAGTCCGGCCAAGCTCTTGATCTTGGCACCATCCAGGGCCTTGGGCTGCTCAAACACCAGGAAGATGTAGCGGTGTGCGGAGCTGGGTTTGGGCGGGCCCGGGGCCAGATATGAGACTAGCCAGTCGTTGGAGCCCTCGAGCGGCGCGAAGCCGTCGCTGTCGGGGGTGCCCGGAACAAGGTCGATATGTATGCCGTGCAAGATAGGGCCAAGGAAGGGGAAAGAGGGGAACGGAGGGTCTAGATCGAGGGAGACGGCGATGTATTTGGTGTCAGGCTCCGACTTGAGGGCGCTGGCGGCGATGGACAGCGTTGGCGTCGGCGTAGCTTGGGGGATGCTCAGGTTGGCGGCCGCCGCCGTCACAGTGGCCTCGGGGAAGTGCAGGCGTAGTGTTGTAGCGCTCTTGGCGGCTGCGAGGGCCTTCTGTACGCTCGGAGACTCTTTACCCATTTTGGAACAGCCGTCGTCGCGTATTTTCCGCTATTATATGCTGTATTCTGGAGTAGTAGGTAAGGAGATAAGGAAGGGAAAGAAGAAGTTGGACATAAACAATCCGTTCCAGACAGAAAAGTTTATATCGTCGGCTATCATTTTTGTAAACTGCCTATCATCTGAGCAGAAACGGAGATAGAGTAGTGTAATACCGGATGATGACCCACAGCGCCTGTAATACTACGTGATGATAAATTGTTCGGCGGCAGATGCTGTCCCCTCCTACGCCAAAAATGTAACGCCGGTAGTATGCGAGGCCCTTAGTTTGCTATTTTCTGGAATTGCTGCCGAAGCACACTCGAAGTGATTGGGTGGGCGCCCAGTCCGGGTCGGGTACCTGGCCGTGATCGGCTCGCGTGTATACAACGCTTACTAGTAAGTGCAGATACGGCACAGAAAGATCTGGCAGCTCATCTGCACGCACCGCATAGATGAGCTTGTAAGGTATAGTCTATAAGTAACATCAGCCCATACAGGTATGGCATGCTTGTCGGTCCCGTCAAGTTGACGCTCTAAAAAGAATTGCGAAGATAACGTATAGATTGTTCTTGTTTTCTCCTATTGTTGCGGCAACGATGTGAGTCGAATTAGGGTAGAGTGGTTGATGCTAAAACAAGCCTCGAAAGCAATTAGCCGTCAACATCGAACCTCGGATATCGGGATCGTGCGTAGATATCATAATGTCGTCATCCATGGTTCCCAGCTGTTCTAATCGTATCGAGGTCTCAATACATAGAATGAGAGCTTCAAACAGTATCGAACAATTTATCGAGACGTCATTCTCAACCATGAAGCTAATGAGCCCTCATATTATACTAATGACAAAGGTGGAGATAGTCGGAACCGGTCCGGTAAAATAGCCGCCACGGAGCCGAGAAATCATGCTTCGAGTCACGGAATTAATCTCTTATTATACGAACTTCACATGCCAAGAAGTGCTTCATGGTTCGCGTCATTCTGGCGTCACTCTGGCGTGTTTCGATGTTGCAACCATCGCTAAGTGTTGTTACCGGAATTTTCGATGGAGAAATCAACATGAGCAGCTTCTGAAGAATTGGGCTAAGAGTAACTGATTGTCACACTTCTTGGGTCTGTTATCACATCAGTATAGTATAGGTTTAGCACCAAATCATTATATCACGTGGAACTACCGCCCTGGTAGCTCAATTGGTTAGAGCGTCGGACTTTTATGAGCGTTCCAGCTTGTAACTCGTTATCCGAAGGCTGCGGGTTCGACCCCCGCCTGGGGCGGAATATGATCTTTTGCTGCATTCTCACCCACCAGTGAGTTCAAATTTTTGTCACATTCTCCCCGGAGTTTGTTCCAAAGAGTGCTGTTACTAATGACACATGGCACGGATGAGGTTTACTAGCCAGGTAGCCACGCAACGAGCTAGCTACATGGAGCAAGAGATAGGATGGGATAGGTAGTTAACTACATGATGTCTCAACGCGCGATCACGTGGAGCGAACTAGATGCTAACCCCTTTTTTTCTAGTTTGACTACGTAGTATATTGCAATCTGATATCCTTCGATCACTCTCTATCTACGATGTTGCTGAGGCGGGTTTGCCACGGACATGTCAACTGCAGGCGAAAGGAAAGAAAGGATGGTATAGTAAGTTAATTATATGTACTAGGATTGTTTGTGAATCAGCAAGCAGTTGGTATTGCCACTTAATAAGCCGCATTTTAGTAGTAGGTATCTATCGCATGTGCTTGCTTGGATGGCGTGTCAGTAGAGGGCGCGAAAGATATAAACCCCACCCAGGCAACACCTACGATAAAATGAGTCATAAGAAGCGCGGGGTTCGAAGGTTGGAGTGATTTCTACGACCGTATTCTTCATTTGAGATACACTTCAGTAACTTGTTCGTTTTCTCTCAACTGTCCGTTAGAAATTACCCACTTCATCACGATGTTGTCTGCAAGAGGACTACAATGGGCCCAAGTTGGCTATGCTCATGGCGCACGGGACCACTACCACCCTTCAAAGAATCCTCAAGGCGTAGTGAGCTTCGATAATGCGGAAAACGTACTGTGACGAACCGGAAAAGGGTTATGAAGCGTTGCGACTAACAGACTTTAGTGGCTTATGCATTCAGACCTGACACGCTTCATCAACACTCTCGTGAGCTTGTACACTGTTTGACAAGCCGTAATTGTAACTAATGTAATTAAGAACTTCGACGAGTTATCTTGCTCGTACGGTGAAGGTTTCACTGGCAGTTTACGACTTCGGCAGGCGATGGCGAACCATAGTGAGTATTCCTCGAAGCTAACTGGTATATCATTTTCGACTTCAGAGTACAAGCTTTGCTTTAGGTCTAAGAGAACGTCTAAAAGCTTCTGGGACTCTCAAAAATTACGCCCAAAATTCGGATAACTAACTCTGAGGGTTCTAGTGAACAGGCATTTTGAGCCAACAAGCCCGATTGACGCCGAAGAGATTACTTTTTGCTCTGGTGTAACTGATCTCAACGAAGCCTGCGCCTTAGTCACCTGCAATCCCAATGCTAAAGAAGCTATTATGCTAGGTGGACCGGTGTATGGTTCATTCTCCCGCGACCTCTCCATGCGTACAGGGTAGGGAGCCCAGCATTCCTCTACCCTCAGCAGTTCTAACTCTACTTTGTTAGTGTGGACCTGGAATACGTCTCAGTAGGCAATGATCAATTCACGCCCGCCTGTATCGCGGCTTTTGAAGCTGGATACGAGGAAGCCAAAGCACGGGGTATAAATATCAAGGCACTGATGATATGCAATCCTCACAATCCTCTTGGTTAGTAGGCAAACCTGGAGTTTGAAGTATTGATATTCTAAGGTCCTAGCTAGGCAACTGTTATCCTCGAGAAACACTTGTCGGTCTTCTGCAACTTTGTGCTCGGAAGGGTATTCATTTGATTAGCGACGAGATCTATGCCCTTTCTGTTTACAATAGAACCGATCGGCAGTCCGAGTCGTTCACCTCCGTACGATCAATCGACTTTTCGGGAATTATTGACCCCAAGTGGGTTCATGTTCTCTATGGAATGTCCAAGGTATACCACACCAGTCAAATGTTGTACATCATCTGAGTTTTGACAAATTTTGTAGGACTTTAGCGCCTGTGGCATGCGCCTAGGATGCGTGATATCACAGAATCCCGACTTCACTAACGCCGTGCGGGCAATCTGTCGATTTTCTTCGCCATCACAATTTTCCATGGAGATTGCGGCTAGCTTACTCGAGAATCAAGACTTTATCCAACCATTTCTTGAGGAGTCACAGGCTCGGTTGCTTCATAATAGGTTGGTAGCTGAGTCGCTTCTTTCTCAAGCTAGCATTGGCTTCCACGATAAGGGGTACGTCGCTTCCTATGGAGCTTTAATGTGGATCTAACTATTAACGTGTCAATCCAACAGGAATGCTGGGTTTTTCATATGGATAGACTTGAGCCCTTTCCTGCCTATCGAGGAAACGAACGGGGATGGTTGGAAAGCGCAGAGACTGTTATCAGAGCGGCTGAAAGAAGCCGGTGTATCGATGGCAACAGGAGAGACCTATCGAGCTCCTGTGCCGGGTATGTTTCGTGTTATATTCTCGGTCGATGAGGACACTTTGAGAGAAGGTATTCGAAGGTGAGTAGCAAGCTCTGGCACTGTCATATTGTGCGGTACTTATTTCTGACGGCCGATATATAGGATATCTCGTGTAGTTTCGGGTGCCTCTGTAGAATAGATACACCTAATTAACAGAGATAGTTGAATGTTCTATCGAGGGATTCTGCACCGCAGTAGAATTTACTAAAGCGGGCAATAGAAGGGCATCAGTTAGTACAACACAAGTACGACTGCGCCAGTATCTTTGGTATGGGGAGCATATAAGCTCTGTTGTTGCGTAAGGTCTCTAAACTTTCTTCATGTCCTGTGTCCTAGGTGATCAAATTTGCTTATAATCTCAGCATAAGATTCTACATAGTGAGGCGATTAGTTGACAGCAGTTACTTACTGAGTATTAGCATGATTAATCTCTAGAATACTTGAGGAAAAGGAGATCGGCAATTATGAGTTTTGTTACTCTACAAATAAATATGCAGACTGGCAATGAATATATGGGTTCTGTAGTGAAGAAGGCTTCTTGTAACCCGTCAAGAAACTTAAGACAAACATTTATAGCCTTCGAAACTGTTGTATCAGTATTTGTATTTCTATCACAACACAACATTTATTCTCACACTTCAGGCCGCAAAGGTTGTTTCACTCGACCTGAACAAATCTGAATTGATGTAGTGATCGATCCAAGTTAAAATAAACAACCCGAAGAGACGTTACGATCCTGTTTCGTTTGACGCTAAGTAAAAAAGACTTATGCAATATTTCCATAAAAACATGCAGGTTCTTGCTGCTAATTTTGACGCCTTGCGTAGAACCTGCATTTAGGCGATAGATATTGAGGCAGGGATTTAGGTGCCGGGTATTGGGGAAGTGGTAGATGAAACACTAATTATTTTGGTAGTTCTAGATCGTTAAACCATGAGATGATACAAATTTCTCCACTTTGATATGATCTGTTTGGAGTGAGTGGTTGGATAATGGCCTCTGGGTCGAGTGGACCGCAGGTATCTAGACCACCTGCACCAAGGAAGGGAGGGGTTCTTTTCATGGAGTACCAACCAGGACTGACAGCCAAGGGAACTAACAGGATTCTCTATGCGATTTCGAGCGTGACCTTTAACATAAAGGCCGTATAATAAAGTGATCATGCTTGATGTTGTTGCCAGAAGCAGGAAGGAGGTGTTGTCTAGGTTACGTAGGCCATTCATTCAACAGGGCCATGGCGAATAAAACCCTGGCACTTGCTCTGCGGCTTGGAACAATGTGTTAGTTCGCCCTTGCGTGCTACCGTTGCAATAATTCGTGATCAGAAATATTGTCGCTGAGTTTCAAAACAGCGAATCAGACCAACTCGTTCACAATTGTTGAGTCAAACCCCAGATACAGCGCCCCAGAGATACAAATACCCCTGTTACTTGAACTGGAAGCTGGTTCTGCTTGGTTACGTTCCTGCAATTCTCATCGCCGCCATGAAACTGATCACAGTTATTCTTGCTTGTTTGGCCCTTGCGGGCATTGGCGTTGCAGCACCTACTCGGCCGAACATTGTGTTCATCATGACCGATGATCAAGATCGGCGCCTCAATTCCTTGGCTCACATGCCCTTTCTCCAAAGCGAACTCGTCGCCAAGGGTACTGAATTCACGAAGCACTACACTAATCAGGCTCTATGCTGTCCAAGCCGTTCAACGTTGCTGAGGGGCCAAACTGTCCGTAAGTACCATTCCCCCGTCCATCTGGGTGCAGTAATAACCATTCGACCCTTAGACAACACCAACTTGACAAACGTGTCTCAACCTGGGTACGTTCTTCATGCACTTCGAGCGTTAGTAAAACACTAAAGATAGGAGCTGATACAATGAGTTGAAAGAGGATCATACAACAAATGGGTTCTGTCAGGTCAAGATAAAGATTACCTTCCCCATTGGCTGAATGCCGCCGGCTACAGAACAGAATGTGAGCGAGACGTAATTCAGGATAACTTCGCGATAGCTCACACTTGATTAGATATCGGCAAGATCATGAATGGTTATGGTTTGTCCAACTACAATGTCAAATCAAAGGGTTGGGACTGGAGCGATCTTCTCGTGAGTTTTCGCACAAGCATTCAGGTGGATTTTAAACTCACATTCTATAGGTTGAGCCCTATATCGACGACTACAACCTCCCTGTCATGTCTCAAAATGGTACGCCTTGAATTACTGGATTGTGCCTGCGGCATGAAAGAGGTCATTGAGACTGAGCTTCTTCGCTCGCTAACATGCTTTCGGTTGTTAGGCCAGCGACCGGTTTTCTATGATGGTTTCCACCAGACGGACGTGATTCGGATCAAGGCGTACGTATATAATCATGTGAAGCAACTAGAAGACAGTGTTTGTGCTAATTATATATATAGGCTGAGCCGACTCCGTAACCTCACGAGCCAGGCCAACCCTTTCTTCTTAGCCATAGCTCCATTTACGCCTCATGTTGGCTTCCAGCAAGACAAGCCCTCACACAGGTACAATTCACACTAATACTACACCCTAGACGATTTTTAACTCATACAATCGTGAACAGACCTATTCCACTACAACGGCATCTGGAAGATTTCCCTAATGCCAAAGCTCCTAGAACGCCGAATTTCAACCCGCCAGACAAGTATCAAGCCAACGC